GACCAGAGTCCAGAGACCAGTGACCAGAGACCAGAGTCCAGAGACCAGAGTCCAGAGACCAGAGCCCAGAGTCCAGAGACCAGAGTCCAGAGACCAGTGACCAGAGTCCAGTGACCAGAGTCCAGTGACCAGAGTCCAGAGACCAGTGACCAGAGACCAGTGACCAGTGACCAGAGTCCAGAGACCAGTGTCCAGAGCCCAGAGTCCAGTGACCAGAGTCCAGTGACCAGAGTCCAGAGACCAGTGACCAGAGACCAGAGTCCAGAGACCAGAGTCCAGTGACCAGAGTCCAGTGACCAGAGTCCAGAGACCAGTGACCAGAGACCAGAGTCCAGAGACCAGAGTCCAGAGACCAGAGCCCAGAGTCCAGAGACCAGAGTCCAGAGTCCAGTGACCAGAGTCCAGTGACCAGAGTCCAGTGACCAGAGTCCAGAGACCAGTGACCAGAGACCAGTGACCAGAGACCAGTGACCAGAGACCAGAGTCCAGAGACCAGAGTCCAGAGACCAGTGACCAGAGACCAGAGTCCAGAGACCAGAGTCCAGAGACCAGAGACCAGAGACCAGAGCCCAGAGTCCAGAGTCCAGAGACCAGAGTCCAGTGACCAGAGTCCAGTGACCAGAGTCCAGTGACCAGAGTCCAGAGACCAGTGACCAGAGACCAGTGACCAGAGACCAGAGCCCAGAGACCAGAGTCCAGAGACCAGTGACCAGAGACCAGTGACCAGAGACCAGTGACCAGAGACCAGAGTCCAGAGACCAGAGTCCAGAGACCAGTGACCAGAGACCAGAGACCAGAGACCAGAAACCAGAGACTAGAGTCCAGAGACCAGTGACCAGAGACCAGAGACCAGCTACACGCAGCTCAAGCCTTAGATCTCTGGTTGTGGTTGTGGTTCAGACCTGATGTCTCCAGCTGCGATGAAGACAGGTTCCTTGCTGTCCAGGCTGGTGATGCTGTCCACAGAGAACTGGCTGATGTTGTCACAGCTGTTGGTGTGACCTTCTGGAAGCTGGGGGGTTAAAACATTTGCAGCGTTACTTAGTGAATGTCCAACAACCAGAAGAGTTCTGATGTGACATGGTGTTCCACCAGGAGCAGGACTTGGTCCTCCTGCTGATGTGTGAAACAATGAGTTGGTGACGTGAAGACAGAATGCTCTGGTTCAACCACAAACATCTTTATTTGTTGATAAACAAACAACAGCTGTTAGGGTTGGTTCAGATGATGTCATCAGAACCTCCCACAGGACTCACCTCCACCTGCAGCTGTCCGATGTCGTCCACCGACCACGCCTCGTCGTCGTTGTCGTAGTTTGGGACGACAGAGAAGCTGCCGGCTCGCTGCTCCACCGTCATGCCGCAGTCCGCCAGGTTCTCCACAGAACGGGTGCTCCTGATCCGGTTCTCCGGGATTCGACTGGGGACGCTGGACGTTTCAAAGTTCTCACACTCCAGAACCTCCACGTAGATCAGGTAGGGGGCCTGAGGAGTCAGCACAAGACCCATGAGGTCATCATGAGGTTTCACAGAGAACAGATGCCCAGAACCATAAACCAGCTCCTTAGACTAGAAACCCTCAGTTGGACTCAGCTGGACCCACAGCTGGACTCAGTTGGACCCACAGCCGGACTCAGTTGGACCCACAGCTGGACTCAGTTGGACCCACAGCTGGACTCAGCTGGACTCAGTTGGACCCACAGCTGGACTCAGTTGGACCCACAGCTGGACTCAGCTGGACTCAGTTGGACCCACAGCTGGACTCAGTTGGACCCACAGCTGGACTCAGTTGGACCCACAGAGGTCCAGAGGTTTTCCCAGTCTGATAAAGGATTCTGAAGTTTTTCTCACAAACAGAATAAATCAGAGCAGGACTTCTGGTCCAGGTCCTGGTGTCTCACCTTGTCCTTTGAGTTAAGGACCACGGCCTGCGTGTGCGGGACCCGGACCACGTGGTGGTCGAAGGCGGCAGTGGCGAGCCAGACCCGGGCCGGCAGCTTGTGGTTGAGCAGGGACAGCTCGGAGATCAGACGCTGGGTCTTCTGTTCTTTGGTGGGCAGGGTGGCCAGGCGCTTCCCGATCCCCATCAGGGACTTGATGAACTCCCTCTGAGGGGCCAGACGGACCGGCTGCAACACACACACACACACACACACACACACACACACACACA